AAAAAAAAAAAAAGTGACATTTTCATTGTGTTCAATGTTTTTCAGTTTCTTTCTGTCTCTTGGTGCTTCCTTGAGGGCTTTGATGATGAGAGCAGGGGCAGAAGGTACCACTTCAATCTGGGCCTGTCTGTTCTGGATAGTCAGTTTCACCATAATCCTCTGACCTTGCCAATCTCTGGTTGCTTTGGCAATGTCATCACCAACCCATTTTGGAGACAAACCCAGGGGGCCAATCTTGGGGACCAGGGCAGATGTGGCACTGATTTTCCACGGGTGCACCTCAGGTACCCAACTTTGACCTCACTCGATTCGAATTTAGGGGGCTAGTAGAGGCAGCTGATATTGCATGAATCCAGATTTGGGACAACTGAAGAAAGTTGCACCTGGGGTTCCTCTGAGCTGAAAAACAAAATCATACTTAAATCTTTAAATGAAACTTGATACCATGAACATTTTTTCATTACAATTTAGAATGTCTTTTTTTTTAGAAAAATATTACTTGTAGCAAGGATTACTATCAAACTCTACTAGTTGGCCCAGAGACCCTGTGGTGTTAGTGAAAAACTTGCCTGTCACATAGCACACTACTTATACTTGTGAGTTCACCGGCCAATCAGTGGCCTAACCTCCAAGCTCTAAAAATGTACACTAGAATGTCTTTTTAATGAGTGTGTTATATTCCATTGTATGGATTTATTTATCATTTTTTTCATTGCTCTGATTTTCACTGGTTTTTTAATTATTTTACTTTCATCCTTAACATTAGCATAAACTTCCTTGGTATCCATATCAGTGACTCATCTTACCAGACAGGCTTCTGTAGGAAATTACTGTGTTGAAGAGCAGCTCTGTTTTGAGACTGTTATTATGTGTTGTCAAATTGGTATTCAGGAACATTGTACCAATTTAGGCCCAAGGAGTGTCTTTCGAGGGAGAAGCTAGAAATTACTCATGACTAGATGGATCCATTGGGGAAAAGAAGATTAGTAAATGGATGTGATGGCTCGGTGCCTGTGGCTCAAGTGGCTAAGGCGCCAGCCACATACACCTAAGGTGGCGAGTTCGAATCCCCAGCCTGGGCCTGCCAAGCAACAATGACCGCTGCAACCAAAAAATGGCCGGGTGTTGTGGTGGGCGCCTGTGGTCCCAGCTACTTGGGAGGCTGAGGCAGGAGACTCGCTTGAGCCCAGGAGTTGGAGGTTACTGTGAGCTGTGATGCCAGAGCACTCTACCCAGGGGGACAGGTTCTGTCTCAAAGAATTTGCCAATAAGCTTCATTGTCTTCATGATGTCATAGTATCTGACAACATATTTTTACAAATGACTGTCATAGGTGGGACATAAAAAGAGCCACATCACTCTATCCCTGCTATTGTACCAAAGTTGAAGAACAAGTGTTACTGACAGTGAGCACTCATGCCATCTGTATATACAGAGGGAAACTTAGAAGTGAACCATGGTCTGTGACTCTTGCACTCCTGTTAATTGGTATTTAAAGGGGGAGATACAGCTAGTCATGAATCATTGGTGAATGATAATATGAATACGAATACGATAATTCTGTTTGCAAGGTATATACTCTCAGTGCTCAGATGAAAATATTTTCAAATTCTCAGTGCTTTTTCTGTTTAATTTTCTTTAAGAAAAGACAAAATGCTGCCTTTTGACATCAAACCTTATAAAATATCTTTTTCATCATTTCCTTCTCCTTCCTTCCTTCCTTTTCAACAGAGTCTCACCATGTCACCCTCAGTAGAGTGCTGTGGCATCACAGTTCACAGCAGCCTCAAACTCTTGGGCTTAAGCGATTCTCTTACCTTAGCCTCCCAAGTAGCTGGGACTATAGGCACCTGCCACAATGCCGGGCTATTTTTTGGTTGCAGTTGTCGTTGTTTAGCAGGCTTGGGCTGGGCTTGAACCCACCAGCCTTAGTGTATGTGGCTGGCGCCCTACTCACTGAGCTATGGGTGCTGAGCCCACACTCAACTTTCAACTGTGTCTCCATGAAAAACAAGTAAAAGGAAAATTTACCACTTTTCAGTCCTAGTTAATCCCAAGTGATAAGGAGTCATTTAAAATGGGGTTGTCACGATAGTCCCCTTGCCCACTGATCTGATGAACCAAATGAATCAGTTAATATGAAACAGGAACCATAATTTATTTGAATAGACCAGGGCTTGGGCTACTTGTGTGTGTGGGAGAGAGAGCAGAAAAAGTACATGTACTGTTTCACATGTAGACACAAAAGAAAGATTGTATCTGTACCCTCAGCTTCAAGTAGTGAAGATTGCAGAAGGCTCCAGGGTGCCTAGAGAGCGTTTGGAAGTACCCCCAGGGCTTCGGTTCTCACTTGATTTGATTTCCCTTTGCTCTGTTGGCAATTCACTATCAGCCCGAGTTTAGCAAAGGTTTTGAACAACAAGGACACTCAGACTGGCCCTGGATGGGAACCAGGGACCTCTCCCTCTTCCTCCCTATCGTAGGGTGGTGTCTCTAAAAAGAGATCTCTAAAGAGAAGGACAACATGGGTCTGTGGTGTAGGATAGTTAGAAGCTGAATACTGCTTCTAGTGTAGCGCAAGAGAGTCTTCCCATTGGAGTCTCCCTCACTAGAAACTTTGACCCCCAGGGCTTCTATGGTTAAAGTAGACATAGCAATCCTTATTCTGCCAAGTATTTTCTTTTTCTTTCTGTTTTTTTTTTTTTTTTTT